ATTCCTGATGGGTATATAGCTAGGAATGGATTGTTTTAAAGGAAACATTTTCCATGTCCTCGATTTTCGTGTGTGTGTGTACAAAGCTGATTCAACCAAGAGCATTCTGGTAGGTCAGTTCTCTTGCTGGCTTGCCTTTCTCATCCTCCCTTTTCCAGCTGCCCCCTCCCATTTTTACAAAAGAAGGGCTTACTCTATCTCAAATCACTTACCCCAGGATAGACTAACCTGCAGTACAATAAGGGAATGTTCCAACCCCTGTAAAACACACACACATGCACACACAGTTTTAAAAATTCTGTTAAAAAGCATCTGAGATCTAACAAGGCACTGAGGTATTAATGGCACCAGAATCTGGAAGAACAAATGAATAACTGAGAATCTAAGATCTGATGAGAATCAGACATTCATGAGGGTCATAGAACAAAAACTGGAATTAGGAGCCTGCCAAGGAAGGGAGACCCTGGAAATACCCATTGGCTTTGGACTGGTGCCTGCTGGAGTTGTATCCTAAGAATAAAGAGGAAAAGGAAATAGACTGGAATTTACAGAAAATTCAATTTCAAATCAGTCAATCCCGCAATTAGATGAAGGTAAATTGGGACTGCAAGTGGTATACCATTATAAACCTGGATGTATTTCAACAATGCAAAGTTGCCTTAATACTAACAAAATCAACGTAATTTACCACATCAATATAAATAGAGAAAACTAAAGAGGAAGTAAATGACATCAGTAGAGAATAAAGGTTAGTTTCATAAGTAAAAATTATCCAAGTGCACTTACCAGGAGTACTGCAAGCCACAGGAGTACTGGGTGTCTTTAGTTTATCATTCTGTTCTGATTCTGATCTTTTTTCACCAGCAGGGGTGGAATTTTGCTTTGGCATCACATGATAGTAAGATGGGGCATATTTGGAGGAGCTACAACCTTATAAGTAGACATGAGATATCAAGTCAAATGTCCAGATCTCAAAATTATTTGAAGAATTAAAAGGACTCAAAACACTAAATCAGAAGCATCTTTTTCTGATGCCAAATCATTTTCCTACCTCTCTTCTTTCTAGATTCCTGAATTTCTTCACAAAGCTGCTCAAAGTCTTCATCAAGTTCTTCTTTAATTATTGCATAGGCAGTATCTCTTAAAGCACAGGCTCTATGCCTAATAAGACGATCTGAGAAATGAACAAAGAATACAATTTTAAAATTCCTTAATAATTTACCAAAAATAAGATCAACATGTTGGGATAAAATTGTAAAAAAAAAATTAAAATTCCTTTTTTACTTTTACCAGGAAGATTAAAAGTTATTGGAATTGTATTGTTCTGTTTTTGCTGTTACTCTAATGTTTTGGGTGTCAGATTTAATTCAGCAGACTAACCCCAAATAATTTTATTGCTCTGTCCTATCTAGTTCCCTGTGAAATATAAGAAAAATAAATAATACTCAATCAACAGCAAGACTATATAACAACAAAAACAGCAAGGAAGGCTGTAAGGGTCATTAGTGAGCCAGGGATGTAAAATAATTTTAGCAGATGTAGAGAAGATGTTACTGCATTGACAGAGAAACTAAACAATTAAATAGCAACCCTACACAGGAAACACTGGAAAAGCCCCCTAAACTCAGAGTCCAAGCACTAAAAACTAGAATATTCTTTGAGGCAGAGGGCAGGTAATAAGGAACGTAAAATTGCTTGAACAACTGGACCAGTTTCCTCAGAGGGCAATAGGCAATATCCACACCCAGGTTAAGAGTTGACAGCAATAACTAAAATATCAGAAAGATTCTTCAGGGGATTTCTAACCCAGGCCTGAAGAAAGGCAAGGCAAAAGTCTAAGCACTGATTCCCCAACTATGGTAGCATGGGCATCACCTGGAACCTTATCAGAAATGTAAATTCTCAGGCCCTACCCTACATCTACAAAATCAAAACCCATGGAGATGGGGCCCTACAAGCTGCATCTTAACAAGCCCTCTAGGAGATGCTGATTGCCTGCTAAAGTTTCAATACTACTGGTCTAAAGTAATTCTAGGTTGTCATAATGGACAGAAGCAGCAGCAGCAGTATGACTACAGTGAGACAGAAAAAGTCCTCAGCCTTCACTGTAAATGCTTTCTTCTTTTGACAATTAAGGGGTGTTTTCAGGTAGCCTATTTCCCTAAAGAATTCTGAATTACAGGGAAGAGCCTAGGAAAGATGAGGGCAGAGGACTGGGAGGGGAAGAACAGGGAGCTTTTCAATTGTTGAAGAAACTCTCAGTAGGCCCCTGTGCTAATCAGGCTAATTTATAAACACTTTTAACTAGAAAACAGAAAGCCAATGTACTGGGGGAGAGAGTTAAGAGGACTATTAGCAAACAGGACAATTAAAAAAAAAACAACTATCCACTGAGAGAGTTAAGGACACTAGCCACAAAACAAAAATAGGAAGCTAGGAAAAAGAAGCACGTAAGAAAGAATATTTTTGGATATTTATATCAGATTTATAAATAGTTGGATATTTAAATATATATGAACAAGTATATCATTAAAAATTCTCTTATTTTATGTTTTATTTTTTAAAGACTTTATTTTTTTTATTAAAAAAAATTTTTTTTTTAAATGTTTTTATTTATTTCTAGGAGAGAGATAGAGACAGCATGAGCAGGGGAGGGTCAGAGAGAGAGGGAATCACAGACTCTGAAACAGGCTCCAGGCTCTGAGCTGGCTGTCAGCACAGAGCCCGATGCGGGGCTCGAACCCACGAACCGCGAGATCATGACCCAAGTGAAAGTCGGACGCTTAACCGACTAAGCCACCCAGGCGCCCCTAAAGACTTTATTTTTAAGTAATCTCTACACTCAATGTGAAACTCAAACCCACAACCCCCAGATCAAGAGTCACATGCTCTACTGAGTGAGCCAGCCAAGTGCCCCTACAAATTTTATTTTTTAATTGTCTGTGTAGGTGAGGACAGGATAAGTATATGTATAGAAAAGGTCTAAAAAGGTTATCCCCAAACTTAACAGTGTCCACCTTTGGAGAGAGAAAATGGGGGACTTAGATCTAGGAGGCTTAGTTTTAAAAATATTACTAAGTATTATATACTATATTACTTTTGTAATAAAAATTGCAATGGTCTAAACTAAGAAAATTCTTCTGAACCTTTTTTATTACAGGGTGTTTATTTTCTACTTCAAGAAAGAGCACTGATAAGGGAAAGAAGTGAGGTTGTTGTGATTTTGTGTCTCACTAGAAGATAGATACATCATGGAATGGTTAATAAATACAGGCATTTTGGCATCAAAGAAACATGCATTCAAATTTTGCCTGTCACTTTCTGGCAGTATGATCCTGAATAAGTTTTCTAACTTCATTTTCCTCAACTGTAAAATGAGAATAATGCTGTATTCAATGGCACTGTGAATATAAAATGTTTATAGTATATCACCTGGTATAAAGTCAAACCTCACTAAATGTCAGAAGCTCCTGTTCCCGCCCCCTCCCTGGGGAAAAAAGCCCACTAATACTTACCTCCAGGATCCCTATCTGGATTATATTCTAAAGCATTACTACAGATCAGATCAATATCACTCAAATAGTCTTTCACAGTCAGATATTTGTGGAGATCAATTTTACTGATTACAGATGAAAGGTCCATTGGTTGCTTTATCACAGTGACATAATCAGGAACCTAAAATTCAAGCAAATGACCAAATCACTAAATGAACTGTGAACATAAAAACACTAGAGTCTAGTTGCTCTGCCAGGCAATATAGCGAGGAGAGAATAAATTTGTAAGAAATAGTGATAATCTATTAATATGAAACCTTTGACTCTATTTAAAGCTGGTTTTGTTTTGTATTTACTCCTGTTCTTGGGCACCCATATCTCCAGTATATCTTATACTTCTTTCCCTGTCCTAACGCCACCCATCCTTCAATGTCAGTTTAAGACTACACTTGCCAGCTCATTCTAAACCGTGTAGGTCACAATAATATCACGTAGCATTAAGTCATTCTTTTTTTTTTTTTTTTTTTTTAATTTCTGAGAGAGAGAGACAGCGTGAGCAGGGGAGGGTCAGAGAGAGAGGGGGAGATACAGAATCCGAAGCATGCTCCGGGCTCTGAGCCAGCTGTCAGCACGGAGCCCGACGTGGGGCTAGAACCCACGAACTGTGAGGTCATGACCTGAGCCAAAGTCAGATGCTTAACCGACTGAGCCACCCAGGTGCCCAGCATTAAGTCATTCTTAAACTGCAAAGTTCACTGGCTACTCTCTGGAGGAAAGGAAAATGTGTTACATAGCTCTTAAGTCTCCATGTGCTTAAGACACTAAATATATTCCACATAAAGAAAGTTCGGAGTATAGACACAGAACCACATAAACTATCCAAATATTCTCTAATTTATATTATAGTTTAGAACAATTTGATCAAAACATTAAATCAATACCTCATCAGGGTCAACAGGTTTAGTAAATACTCTGAATCGCTTGTCAATAGCAAGTCTATGTGTAACATTTCTTAAGAAAATCCTCAGTTCTCTAAATGTATCTTCTTCTTGTTCTTCTAGTCGTTTCACTTCTTCTGCTGTCAGTGGTCTTGGCTCAGGTGGTGGTGCCACAGGGAGAACCTCCAAGGCCTGTAAAACTTCACATGAATGGAAGATTTTAGTTACTACTCTCATCATATCAAGGGTGACAAATGATTCAGCGCACATAGTAGCCAGGCTTTCAGGGGTTATCCTCCTCATAGCTCCCAGGAATAGAGGATTTGAAACACTAAAGTGCCTACATCCCTTCCTAAAATAATTGTTAACTTCTAATTTGGAACGCGAATTCCTAAGTCATTACCTCTATTCCATTTAAAGATCATTTATGAGGCTATTAAAACTTTGAAAATGCATTATTTCCAGGACAAGAATATTCTATTAAAAAAGCTTTTTACTAGTTAATTTTTGAAGTAATAAAGAATTGTGTTCTGTTTCAAATGTAACAAGTTTAATTTTGTTTAAACAGATATATACTGAGTACTCAGGATTAAAAAAGGAGTTTGAGACTGCTGCCCCAATAAACTGGCAATCTATTGAAGGAGTAAGAGGTAATTATCACATCACTGTAATGTCATAGTAGTATGAAAAAATACAGTGGGTCATAATGGTAGAAAATTAATTTTGGCTAGATATGTTAAGGAGTAAAAAATGAGTTATAGTAGAAGGACAAATGGTTCCTTAGGCAGCGATAGGCAATGGGGATAGAAGCATTACTCAAAGTGAGCAAGCATAAAGAATGAGGAAAAGGCAGGAATATGTTGCATGTGGTGTAAAGACAGAGTGCTTTGCAAGGAAAAAGGGTGGGGAAGTAGGGGAGAACAAAAGTGCTAAAAATGGGCTGGAGAAGACAGGCTGGGGCTTTACTATGAATTCCAGCTGAAATTCTACATGGACTGGCAGTATACTAGGAAAGGCCTTGTATGCTTTAGGATCTTTAGTCTACTTTGATGGGAAGCATAGAGACTTGTAAGCAGTAGAGGTATCAACTTAATGACTGAGGTTTTGAGCCTGTATTAGAAGATGACGATGCTATTAGTATTTTATTCCCACTGTCTTGAAAGTATTATATATTAAACTTTGATAGAGAAACTAACCTGCTTTCTTTTTTGATACAGGAGGCTTAGCAGCTTGCTTTAGAATTAAATCTTCAAAAAATTTTGTCCGTTCTTCTTTACCAGGTAACTGGACGTTAAAAATTTCTCCATAATCATGGATAAATAATTCTTGCACCTTAAGAAAATACATGCATTATATATGTGAATACATAATACTATGTATCAATCAATGCAACAGTAGGTTATTATACACATATTTTTAATAACTTGAACTGTGTAATAAAGAGATGTTTTCAAAACACGGATCTTTTACGTATGCTGGAGTTACATATAAATCATGTATGCAACAGATTAGGAACTAAAAAAAAAATGGGATCTTCTTTAAAACTCAAGATTCCAAAGTTCATATGGTAACTGACAAGGCAATATTTTATTTCCAGGGTTTTATTGAGATCAATTAATTCACTTTCACAACCCAAAGTGAGAATGAGTGGTTGTTCAATAAGAATAAAGGCTATAACTTTGCATAGGGCACTTGGGTGGCTCAGTCAGTTAAGTGTCGACTCTTGATTTTGGCTCAGGTTACGATCTCACAGTTTGTAAATTCGAGCCCCACACTGGGTTCTGTGCTAACAGTATGGAATCCGTCTGGATTCTCTCTCTCCCTCTCCCTCTGTGCATGCACACATGATTGCTCTCTCCCTCTCTCTCAAAATAAATAAATAAACTTTTGGGGTGCCTGGGTGGCTTAGTTGGTTAAGCGTCCAACTTTCGCTCAGGTCATGATCTCGCGGTTCGTGGGTTCGAGCCCCGCTTCGGGCTCTGTGCTGACTGCCAGCTCAGAGCCTGGAGCCTTTTTCGGAGTCTGTGTCTCCCTCTCTCTCTGACCCTCCCCTGCTCACGCTGTCTCTCTCTCTCTCCTAGAAATAAATAAAAATATAAAAAAAATTAAAAAAACAACTTTTAAAAAAATTGGAAAAAAAAAAAGGCTGATGGCATCAGGCTGGCTCAGTTGGTGGAGCATGCAACTCTTGATCTTAGGGTTGTGAGTTCGAGCCCCATGTTGGGTATAGAGATTACTTACAAATAAGATCCTTAAAAAATATTAAAAAAAAAAAAGGCTAGAAAGTAACAAGTGCTAGTGAGGATGTGGAGAAATTAGAACCTCTGTGCTGGTAGGAATGTTAAAATGGTGCAGCCACTGTGGAAAACATGGAGTTACCATGTAATCCAGTACAGAGATCTGAAGAACTGGGGGCAAAACCACCACTCAAACTGATACTTGTATACCAATAATCATAAGAAGATTATTCATAGTAGTCAAAAGGTAGAAAAAATCCAAACGTTCATCACCAGATGACTGGATGAAAATGTGATACACAGATACAAAGGAATATTACTCAGCCTTAAAAAGGAGTGAAATTTTAATGCACGCTACAATATGGATGAACTCTGAAAACATTCTAAGTGAAATAAGCCAATCACAAAAGGACAGATACCATATTATTCCAACTACACAGATAGTAGAATAGGTAAATTCATAGAGAGAGAAAGTTATAACAGAGATTACTAGGGGATTGGTAAAGGAGGAAATGGGGTGTAACTGCTAAATGGGTATAGAGTTTCAGTTTGGGATGATGAAAAAGTTCTGGAAATGGATAGTGGTGATAGCTGTACAACACTGTGAATGTACTTAATGCAACGTACTTTGTCACTGAACTGTACACTTAAAAATTAAAATGGTAAATTTATGCTATGCATATTTTACTGCCAAAAAAGGGCAGAGAGATCCCAAAAGGATATTTCTAAACACCTCTTGACCCTTTCCAGTATTATTAGAGGATAATGTTTATTCCTTCCTTTTGTGATGCTTATGTACTTTGTTTTTGTGTATCTTTGACATCTAGACATTTACACTCATAGCTTTTGCATAACCTGATTGGCAAGGTCTTCTATGCTCCCATATATACGAAAATGCTCCTAGTATGTTATATGAAACTTTCTTCCTGTTGTCTCAACATCATTCATGAAATGTCTCTATTTTTGTTAATTCACTTACTAAATTACTATGTACACAAGCATCTACCAATGGACTATATTACATTAATTTGTCCATGCTGGCCCAAATTCCAAAGTTTTAATTTTTAATTTTGTGGTATGCTTTAATATTTGATGGTCCTAGAACTTCCTCACTGCTTTTTCAACATTTTCTTGGAAATTCAAGCACTTTTTCCTTCTACACTGAATTTTAAAAACCACCTATTTTTGTTGGAATTTCCCCCTCTCACAGCTTGTAAGTTATATGGTGTGTTTCTATTTTTTTATTGTTGTAAGTTTTAACAGACATACCTAAGTTTCTTTTTCTAGCAAAGTGTAAGGTTAATCAATACCTACATATCAGACAAAAATCTGAATTTGCTTTTATTTCCTTATTCTCCGTTGCTATATTCTTCTTGCCATTATCAAGTTCAGACCAAGACTAACTTAGATTAGTTTCACATTCTTTAAAATTTTTTTCCATCACAATTTTGTGACAATAAGTTTTACTGTTTTCTTTGTTCGCTGTTTCTTATATGCCACTTCTAAAAAATAAAAATCCAAGAGAAATAATCCTTTAATAAGTCTTTCAGTCAAGGGTTTACAAGTAATAGTTTCTTAGGCACTGCATATTCAAAAATATCTATTTTTCTCTCTCATTCAAATGCTAACTTTGTTGGGAAGAAAATTATTGGTTAAAAATTATTTTCTTTCAAAACTTTGAAAATCTAGCTCAGTTGTCTCCTTAGTAGCTAGTGTTACCAATAAGAAGGTAGAAGCAATTTGATTTTCAGTACTTTCTAGTAATATTTTTTCTCTTGGAAGATTTAAAAATTTTCCTCTGTACTTCTGATATCCTGAAATGTTATCTAGATGTGGGCCTTTTTATATCTGTCAGTTAGAACACAGAAACTTTTATATCTGACCTTAAGGTATTCTTTAACTCTACAAAATGTTCTAGTATGTGAATATTTTCTCTTCTACATTTATTTTCTCCTCCCATAAAGCCCATTAAGCAGATGTTAGACCTAAATCGATCTGTATTTTAACTTTTTTCACTGATTTTTCAAATCTCTGTCCTTTTGTATCATATAGTGTAAGAATTCCTGGTGTCATGATCTCCCACCTTGCTAATTCACTCTTCATCTCTGTCTGCTCCTTTTCAAAGCCTCATAGAGTTTTTATTTGGGGGAAGTTATTTCACTTGTAACATCTCCATTTGGCTCTTTTCTACAACAGTCTGTTGGTGATACATGGATATGATTATTCATTGAGCTGTCCTTCTCAAATGCTTATTTATAAGCTCCTCTTTGCCTTTGAATTCTTGACTGTCCACAGCTGCTTTTTCTGTTTATTCTAGCTTCTACGTCCAGTGATTATATGAAGAAGCTAGCCTATACTGGAAATAGAATTTACTGTTTTTTTTTTTCCCTTTCATAGTTTATTATCGAGTTGGTTTCCATATAACATCCAGCACTCATCCCAACAAGCACCCTCCTCCATGCCCATTATCCCCTAGAATTTACCTGTAATTTGCTTTCTGAGCACAGGATCTTCCTATTCCTCCTAATCTTGACAGCCATAGATAGTCACTGCTCTGACACAGTAGTCTCTGGGCCCAACCTCACTGCTCTAGCTGAGGACGAACAACTTTGCTGACTGCTGCTTGACATGGCCAGAAGTGAAGAAAACCAATTAACTCAAAGTTGTAGAAGGGCTCTTTCAATTCCTTTCTACCACTGACTCAGAGCTAGAAACCATTCCCATCTTTGAAAGCAGTCCTCTCATGCACGTGCTTTGAACTGTGGTAGCCCTCATCAATCCCCACTGCTCTTTCATGAATTCATGAAAGTTGCTAATCAATTCATGACATTCTTTCTCATTTTTCCCATGCTGCTCAATTGTTAAGGATTCACTAGTGTTCATGGATACCAGGTACTGACTACAATTCTCAGATGGACAAACTCCAACGTAGCTAAAAATGCTACACACAGTGTTCTCATTTATTATATAGCCCAATGCTATAACAGACAGTATCAATGAACCACTGAAAACTATATATATGGCTCAAAGTGGACTTGCTTATTTATAGCCATATAAACTACATTATTCATTTTCTAAAATAAGTAAGTCCTGCTTCTGTGCCCACTCCACCCTACCATGCAGTGTGATACTGGGATACTTTACTCAGTTTACAATTATATGCTTAAGAAATATTACCCAAAGAAAATAGAGAAGCTATTCTTTAAAAAAAGATCTTTACATGCAGAATTCCCACATTTTTGATAGTTATCTCAGATTAAACTGAATGCAGTTTTTCAACCTCCCTACATCCATATAAAGAATGCTCAGCCTTTAACTCTTGTTATCAAGAGTATAAAATTATCTTTCTTTCAAATTTCGAAATGATTAACAATATTTTAACTGACAGTGAGTACAATAAGCCAATAGCATAATGTGACTACTACACAGTAATTCTTCTTTACTTTGTTAACCAGAACGCTGCTAGAGTACTTAATTCATTCTGGGTACAGCTCTTCAAAGGGAATATATAGACATTCAGGAGAGTGACTAGAATTCTAAATAAACTAAAAATATGTGATGTGTGGCAGAACTTGCTATTATCAGGCCCATGTCCTCTTCTTCTTGGACACATGGCTTTGTCATACCTCCTAGTCTCCCTTGCTGTTAGACACAGCCCTGTGAGGTTCAGCCAATAGAATGGGAGAGAAAATGGTATACATCTTTCACATTAGGCACATGAATGGGCCACTCCTTTCAGTGGGGTGGAGTGAAAGCAGACTGCAAAGTCACGTGATGAAACAAAGTTCTCTCAGTCTGAATGTCTGGAAGACTACATGGGAGGAGGCTAGACCTGAATGTACCCACCTGTGTAGTATAGTTAAGCTAGTGAGAAATAGACTTCTACCGTATTAATAATCCTAAGGAATATACTGTATCACAGAAGAAATGTTTAGTGTGAGGAAGTTTGAGTCAGAGTGGGGAGATACAAATAAACACAGTAGAGCATATGAATATACAAAGAGTTGTCATGATGAAAACAGATTTGACAGGTTCTAGATAGC